CAAATAGTAGCCCTTATGGAGATAAGAATACATTTGTACCCAAAATAGTCAAAATGAACTTCCACAAACTGTATATGTGTATGATCATGTCTGCTTCTCCTGACTGGCCCACATCACAGGATAAGATCTGATACTACACGTTGAACCTTTGCAAATTGGGACTCTGTGGTCCGGCACCATCCGGAGAATCCCAGTGAGGGTTGGCAGCTGGGCTGGAGTTGGGCTTTCTCATTTAGCAGGGAAGTGGGAGGGACTGGCAGGGGAGCTGGGCTGGTAGCGGGTGGCAGGGAGCTGACTGGGAAGTCAGTGGTCAGTCCAGGGCTGGAAGGGCCAGTAGCTGGGAGAAAGGTATGACTTTGCCTGGTCCTGCAAAATCCCTCATCCAGGATCGGTCAGGTCCCAAGGGTTCCAGACCAGAGAGTTCCACTATGTACTACCAGCTGAAAGATCTACCCCATTAGCTGATCAGATGCATCTTGACAAAATGGGCTCCAGCCCACAAAAGTTTATAATCAAATTTATTAATCTTTAAGATGCCATAGGACTCCTCATAGTTTTTGCTTCAGTTAGAAACTGAGCCTGTGGTGGTAGGTAGACTAGATGTCTCCGAAAGGGAACCAGTGTGCCAAGTTGCATGGTATACATCAGTACTTGCTGAATGTCTATGACACTACTGCTGTTGATTAGTCATGCTACATGTTTACATATTCTTATACCTTATTTGCTTCCCTGTGAGTGAGCAGTGAGTTCTGAAACAAAGAAGACTTTCAGATTATAGAGTTTCATTTTAAAACAATATCAGAAGCTTCTAAAGTGAACAGGCCTTGGATTTTAAACATTTAATTTGCCTTTAAATTCACTGCAGTAACAACATCATTTGTGGGTTTCTTTGCAGTTTCGAGGTCAAGCATGCTACAAGACTGTAGAACTGTGTGTCATTTGACAGCTTTTTCTTAGTTCCATCTGTTGCTAGGCTCATTTAGTACTGGGCTTCTCTCCCAAAACGCACTACAGTAACTCCTCACTTACCATTGTAGTTCTGTCCCTGGAAAATGAGACTTTAAGTGAAACGATGTTAAGCAAATCCAATTTTCCCATAATAATTAATGTAGATGGGGGAATTTTTTCATGAGACAAAAGACATTACATGTGGTTTGACTCACAGGTAAGTGAATATCCTCTGGCCTCAGAGTTCTGGTGAGCATGGGTCTCCACACTGGAACCAGGCAGAACAGGCAAGTGGCAGCACATAGGCAGAAGCACTGTGCTGCATCCTTTCCAAACACCTGATGGGGATGTCTCTGTTAGTCTCTGAGCAGCAGATCATACAAATGCCTGCTCCAGTTACAGAGGGGTAGCTGTGATCATCTGTTTTGGCAAAAACAATGAGGAGTCACGTGGCATCTTAAAGACTAACATTTCTTGGGGCATAAGATTTCATGGTCTCAAACCCACTTCATCAGATGCATCTTGACAAAGTGGGTTCCAGCCTATGAAAGCTTATGCCCAAATAAATTTGTTAATTGTTAAGGTGCGATAGGACTCCTTGTTTTTTTGTTCCAGTTAGACACTGAATCCATGGGCGTCTGGTCTTTAAGGCAAAGCAAGGCTGCGCCTACCCAAAGCTGAGCTGTGCTAGCCCTGCCCCTTCCCTCCCTGCTTCCAGCTGCCACGTGGGGTTGCTGTTGAATGTTTAGTGTGGCTCAGGCAAGTTCCAGGGCGTCTGGGAAGGCAGGAACCTCCTCAGCAGTGCACATGGCAGTGGGGAGTCTTGGGTCCAGGCTACCTCCCTGCCGCTGCTACTGGTGCCAAGGAAGCTCAGGCTGCAGCTGCCTCACTCCCTCTGTTACCGGGGATGGGGAGGCTTGGGCCAGCTTGGGCTGCAGCTGCCTCCCTCTTGCTGCTCCCAGGGGTGTGTGGGGGGGGCGCTTGGCGCACTGCTCCTCCCTGTTATGTGGGCAGGACTATAGGGAACCTCAGCTGCGCCAACTGCAAATAACGTCTTTATGATTATCCATAATCTAACCAGCATTTAAGACACAACACTTCTTTTCAAACATTTGTTTTCTTTGAGAATACTTTGTGTCTGTCATTAATGACTAGAAATCTTTGAGATTTGTGATAAATCCAATCACTCCAATGGGATTGAAAATCTATAACATTTGCCTCCCGGTGATGTTTTTAACTTACAGAATTCCCTACCAGCCGACTTGAAATGAGTGCTGTGGCCGATATCTTTGATAGAGATGGTGATGGGTACATTGACTACTATGAATTTGTAGCAGCACTTCATCCAAACAAGGATGCATACAAGCCTCTTACAGATGCTGACAAAATTGAAGATGAGGTACTCTTTATATAGCTACAGTTTTCATATAACTAATATATTCCACTGGAATTGCACATTTATTTTATTTTATTTCCTATGTAACTTGGAATTCTGCCAATTACTTTAGACTTCAGAAATCTGATCATTAGCATTGAATAATTATTCCAGTTCTCGTTTTGACAGGTTACAAGGCAGGTAGCAAAATGTAAATGTGCAAAGCGATTCCAGGTGGAGCAGATTGGGGATAACAAATACAGGGTAAGTCTTCACAATATGTCTATGCTTCTTTCAGTCCTAACATTCTCAAGGCAACAGGACTTTTGTGAGCATTTGGGCTACATTCATGTACGGGAACTTTTATTATATACTTATGTTTGCTCAAAGTCTAAGTGGGAAATATGTAGTTTTAGCTTCACTGTTACGTCTAGAACAGGGTACCTCTAGACAGTGGGGCTATTTCAGGATACCAGAGGTTATT